CAAACATACACTCACAAACACACAGACACACACAGCCATTCCTTAATCCCCAGTATCTAATGACATTTTTACTTCCAATGTTTAATGTATTCATCAAGAATATGAACCACAAATAGCTTCTTGGAGCAGTGTTGGGTTGTCACTATGATGACACCAACATAATAAAGATAATGTTCCGTCAGGTTTAACAATAGAGTGAAATAAGCCTTTGTTTTAGTTCCTTTGTTTCCCTTTATTTGTTTGTGACAATTCAGTAGATTTTATAATAGCGAACATAATAATGTATTATGTACATGCTCATATTTGTTTTTTAGGTGTGTTTGCTTTTATGTTCTGGAGGTACATTGCATTATAACTAGCCACAGCATTTCAACTTCTTATATGTATCACTGTTTTGTACTTTGTCCACTACTGTATAAATCAGTTGGTGGTTAAAGCTTTTTCACTGGAAACATCTGCCTGCTGTGGCTGAAAACAATGCTATGGGAGCAAACCCAAAGAATAAAGCTGTGGGCCATCACTGACCACTGTCATTTAATGGCCAACAATTTTATTAAAGAGCTATTGATTATTGTCACCTCATAGAAACGCTGAGGCTGATGGGAATGCCATTAGTTTTTCATGACCAACCATAAATCTGGAGACCATGAATGTCTGTGTAGATTTTTATGGGAAACCATCTAATAGTTGTTGAGATACACTGATCAGCCATAACATTATGACCACCTGCCTAATACTGTGTATATGGGAGTCAATGTGATAGGTCAGCATTCTGCAGCTCACTGTGCATCTTCTGTGAATCCATTTGCTTCCATAGTTCTACTGTCAGAAAGAGCAGAAATGTGTCAAAAGGAGTGAAAACTGTGGTTGTGAAGACAAATTAGAGATAATCCTTTTAGACCAATTCAGCAGCGTCATCTACAGTAGGTCATCATCAGTGACCCTTGGGCATCTGTGACCCTGTCGCCAGTTCGCTGTCTGTCCTTCCTTAGACACTGTTGGTAGGTACTAACCACTGCAGACCAAGAACACCCACCAAGGCCTGCAGTGTGGGAGATGCTCTGACCCAGTCATCTCACCATAACAGTTTGGCCCTTGTCAAAGTCATTCAGATCCCATTTTTCCTGCTTCCAACACATGAAGGAAGACTGAATGTTCACTTGCTGCCTAATGTACCCATATACTGACAGGTGCCACTGTAACTAGATAATGTTATTCAATTCTGTCAGTGGCCATAATGTTATGGCTGATAGGTTTATCAGTCTGGATCAAAGTGGTGGACAAACTAACTGCAAAAAAAACAAAAATTACTTCACGTAAAAAGATTGGTAACACACCAGTAGGCTATCGGAATCTTCTGGTCATAAGAATTTAAACAGAAGAAAAAAATTTAAAAAAATCAACACTGAGTGATTTCACACAAGCACAATTTAACCACAGAGGAGAAACGGATCACATTGGAATTGAAATTAAACAGCTATATACATACAGACCAGAATTACAGTTTATGTATATACTGTACAATTGAAAGTTAAAGTTAGGATAAGGTATTTGTGTGAGAACATTTAGGATTTTACAGTTGAAACACTACAGTGACTAGAGAACGACCAGTAAAATCTACAACCTAATACTATCAACTATTACAGTGTTGAACTGATCAAACAATAAATATTGAAGGAAAAATATTTCCCGGATACACAATATACATATACTGTAGTAAAATAAAGACAAAAGACACTATTTGGACAAAAACAGGTGTCCACATACTGTTGTGTACATTTGGTCTGGAACAGTTGTTTAATGGTTTGCGTTCAGCTTCTTCGTCCCAATTAAGCTGAATCTGTGCCACAGTGTTCCTCCAGAGCTGTGGCAGCAATTTGAATTCTCAGCTGGTCTGTAGAGAGCCCAGAGACCTAAACCTATCAAACACATTTTAGGATGCCACGCCAGTAACAGTGGCAATAAGACCTGCAGGCTGCAACATTTTCTGGAAAGGTTTCCCCAGCTGCACACTGCCCGTGGTTTAGCAGTGAGATGTTCAACAGTCACATATACAATAGGTGTACAGTGGTGTGAAAAAGTGTTTGCCCCCTTACTGATTTCTTATCTTTTTGCATGTTTGTCACACTGTAATGTTTCAGATCGTCAAACAAATTTATATATTAGTCAAAGATAACACAAGTAAACACATCATGCAGTTTTTAAATGAAGGTTTTTATTATTAAGGGAAAACAAAATCCAAAACTATAGAGCCCTGTGTGAACAAGTGTTTGCCCCCCTGTCAAAACACTGGTTTATCGCACCTGAGTTCAATTTCTCTTGCCACACCTGTTCGCAATCAAGAAATCACTTAAATAGGACCTGCCTGACAAAGTGAAGTAGACCAAAAGATCCTCAAAAGCTAGACATCATGCCGAGATCCAAAGAAATTCAAAAACAAATGAGAAAGAGAATAATGGAGCTCTATCAGTCCGGAAAAGGTTATAAAGCCATTTCTAAAGCTTTGGGACGGCAGCGAACCACAGTGAGAGCCATTATCCACAAATGGCGAAAACATGGAACAGTGGAGAACCTTCCCAGGAGTGGCCGGCCGACCAAAATTACCCCAAGAGCACAGCGACAACTCATCCAAGAGGTCACAAAAGACCCCACAACAACATCCAAAGAACTGCAGGCCTCACTTGCCTCAGTTAAGGTGAGTGTTCATGACTCCACCATAAGAAAGAGACTGGGCAAAAATGGTTTGCATGGCAGAGTTCCAAGACGAAAACCGCTCAGCAGTGGTTTTTGTCTTGGAACTCTGCCATGCAAACCATTTTTGCCCAGTCTCTTTCTTATGGTGGAGTCATGAACACTCACCTTAACTGAGGCAAGTGAGGCCTGCAGTTCTTTGGATGTTGTTGTGGGGTCTTTTGTGACCTCTTGGATGAGTTGTCGCTGTGCTCTTGGGGTAATTTTGGTCGGCCGGCCACTCCTGGGAAGGTTCTCCACTGTTCCATGTTTTCGCCATTTGTGGATAATGGCTCTCACTGTGGTTCGCTGCCGTCCCAAAGCTTTAGAAATGGCTTTATAACCTTTTCCGGACTGATAGAGCTCCATTATTCTCTTTCTCATTTGTTTTTGAATTTCTTTGGATCTCGGCATGATGTCTAGCTTTTGAGGATCTTTTGGTCTACTTCACTTTGTCAGGCAGGTCCTATTTAAGTGATTTCTTGATTGCGAACAGGTGTGGCAAGAGAAATTGAACTCAGGTGCGATAAACCAGTGTTTTGACAGGGGGGCAAACACTTGTTCACACAGGGCTCTATAGTTTTGGATTTTGTTTTCCCTTAATAATAAAAACCTTCATTTAAAAACTGCATGATGTGTTTACTTGTGTTATCTTTGACTAATATATAAATTTGTTTGACGATCTGAAACATTACAGTGTGACAAACATGCAAAAAGATAAGAAATCAGTAAGGGGGCAAACACTTTTTCACACCACTGTAAATACCCTGGTGTCCACATTAATGTGCAGAAATGTGGCCATATTGTTTATACTTCATAAAACATCCATTCTTACAGACATGTAGTACTTTTGAGTTTTGTGAATGTAAAAACTCAAACTGAGTGGACACACAGCCAAAGCTCACACACAAAGTACATTTTCAGTCTGAAAGCATCATGTCCACATTCCACTGTAAGTGTAGCTGTCGAGCTTCATCAGGAGTCTTGTCTCTCTGGTTATGTTGGGGATATTCAAACTCAAGTCATGGCCTCAGGGGGGTTTATGTGCTTGGTGGCCGGCATGCTGCACTGGTTGAAAGTGTTGGCGGAGGCACAGGCCACCTTGTCGCTGTAGGCTCTCTGATTCAGCTGGATTGCTGTGATCTTAGACGCCATCGAGGTGTTGCCATTCTCCCCGGACCAGTGATCACAGTGAAACAAAATGAGGAAGCATCTGTAGAACTGAGAGGGAGATGAAAACAAAAACAATGTGAACATAGCGTACCAACCCCAAACTGAATCGTCAGAGATGGACCGCCCCTGGCGTTGCACTCTCGGAGAGACTAATGGTACAGGTCTGTGAAATTATGCCTTTCATGTACTCACAGTCAACGGTAGCTCCTCTCCAGATGAGAGATTGGTTCCTTAATGGTCAGTTGCACTGGCAGAGTGGGTGGTTTGAATTTGCACATTAGCTAGAAAGGTCTGAGTTCTGCTCTCTCAAATATACTGTAAGTGCTTGCACCTGCTTTTATCTACATTTCCCAATATTCCTTAATGAAGCAGGATGCCATCTCTTTTTTGTTTCTCTCTTCTGACTATAATTCGTTTGCATCAGAATTAATACAACTCAAGGCTGATATTTTGACTTGCCTGCAGAGAAGGTGACAGTAGAAGTACAGTATGAATACAAATAAATACAGCATGCGCAACTGTAGAAAATAAAATTGTCTAAATAGGCCAAAGTGAAATTTACCTAAGAAGACATGTTTAATTCGTGTCACAGAAAAAACATTAACTTCTCTGTTTTTGTTAGACTATGCTGTAGAGTCAAGAGAACTGATTAGTAACTAATTATAAAATAAAACTAATTTTCAAAAGCAAGGTGGTCACACTCCAGGATTTAATCTAAGAAAACAGTACATGGACAACTGGCTTACAACACGATCGCACGTTCAGCACGGAGGATTTTGTTTTTGGTTGTCTGTGGCGAATGTTATTACTGTGGAGAGCAGCAGTGGAGAAGGAGGGGGTTGTGAGCAGAATCACAATCACAAGAGAAACAGAAACCAGCAGCAAAGCCAGGTGGAAAAAAACCAAACAGAAAAAAACAAATGTATGTGGGAGCTGATTTCTCTTTGTGTTGACAACATATCACAGCGCATGAAAAATGCCTTGCAGTTGGCTGAGCCAAACAAACATGCTGTCTTCATAAATTATGTATTCATTTCATCTTTTAAAATCTCTGTCTAAAGGAAACTAACTGTATTCCTTGGCCTTTGACATCCAATGGGAATTTTAAGGTAAATGCTTTTCTCAAAGAAGTGCATGAGGCAGATGCTGAGGAAGACCTTTACATTGAGCTCTCAGCAAGAAACTCAATAAGCATATTTTAAAGTCTTCTTTTAACCCCCAGCTGTGTTAGCAGAGTGGATCAGTGGCCAGCAGACTGCGATTGTACCCATTAACCTGTAGCTTTCAGGTGTGGATATGTGTCACGGTGACCATAATGTTGCTTAAAAATGAGGGCACTGCTCTCTTGCTAAACCTCCCTGGATTTAAAATAACTTGGGGTTGTATGCCTCTGCCAAGCAGTCAAGCTTCAGTTTACATGCTTGTCTGTAAATACACAGTACATGGTATGTCGTGAAGACTGAAGGAATTCAATTAAAGATATTAAATGTATTTAATTTGAAGAAATCCCCTCATGGAAATCCTGTGATACAGTGGTCATGGGACAGACATGAGGTCACCAAGACCTTGATCTTTGACCACTTGGCATACAAAAGGTTTAACAAATTGAATTTAGAGCCTGGTAGATGCTGCCTGAGTCAGGAAATATTGTTAATATGAACACCTGAACTTGTCTTACTGTTCCTATCGCAGGCATCGTTCTGATGATGGCGCTGTGCGAGCAGGTGCACGTGTACGAATACATTCCCTCCACAAGGCAGACAGACCTGTGCCACTACCACGAGCGTTATTATGATGCTGCCTGTACACTGGGTGCCTACCATCCCCTCCTGTATGAGAAGAGCCTGATCCAGCGGATCAACATGGGCCCTGAGAGTGACCTCAGGAGGAAGGGACGGGTCACGCTCCCAGGCTTCAGCACCGTCGACTGTGACATCTGAGATATGAAACTTGATCCTCTGAGCCTGACATTACACACACACACACACACACACACACACACACACACACACACTGGCCTTTTCTGGCTGACTAAGGAAGAGGTGCAATAAAGCCACTGGAGGCAAGGAGGCTGGAGCTTACAAGTTTAAAATTATACCCATGGAGAACATAAGCCATAGCCCTCCAGGGTGGGATCAGCAAGGAGCCCTTTGAAAGACCTCGTTTTAATCAAGATGGTTTATTAGACCAGAAAGTAACCGGACGAGTCTACAACATGAAGCTGAAAAATACATTTCTCTCTGCTTTAGCTGAGCCACGTTAGCTGTGGAGCTGACTAGGGTAGCAACAGATCAATGGTTTTAGATAGGGTTTTCAATAACTGTGTGTGTTTTAATGGTGTAAAATCCGTTTTTAAATAGTATGGGTGGTTCTCCACTTAAAGGAGATGCCACTGTTTAACGGTGGATATTTGCGATTTATGTTTATTTTTTACTGATCCAAATTGTTGTGAATAAGCAAAGAAGTCACCATCCATGCTGAATGTCGGAAATGCATCACACATTCACACAAACGCACAGTTTTACTGTACATGGGTGGAGAAGAATGCATGGTATTAAAGACAGAGTTAGTGTCTCCAGAGTCGAGCTGTCACCCCAGTCACATTACTGTGTGTTCCATGTGCATCTTTGTGAAGTCAGAAGTTGGGTTTCCTGTTATCACGAGGGATTAATTTTTCACTACTGATGCTGTTAAGTTTAATACTGAATTACTCTCCTGTGCACGCTGACTTATAACCACCAGGATGTCACGCCTTGTTCACATGCTCAGGATGATTCCTTATTCAGTATTAAGAAACCTGTCTTGCACTTAGAAGTTTACAGGAAATCACTGGTTGTCCTCTTTTTTGGATTCGTCCTACCTATAATAACATTTTTTTATACTGATGGTATCATTAAATCAATGTAAATGGGGCCAAAGTGGATCTACAGAGCAAACAGGTGCTTAGAACAGCTGTAACCCTGTGCCTAGTGGCCAACTGAACACTTTCCTCGGGTTGCCTTGTGTCTGTTCAGATACATGCAGTACATACTGTGGCAGGACTGCAGTACCATGGTGTTCGTTTGCCATGACAGGTGTGGAGCAGCTGATGTTTGTGAAGTGATGCATGTCAGGGGATCCTTAGCTCTGCCTCAGCAATCACCATCCCCTGGTTTTGACAGTCAGTTTCCTCTTATTGAATGTAATTTTACTACTCTGTGTAATGGTGATACCCATCCCGGAGCTCTCTGCAGCTGTATGTGTATCTCATTGCAGGGTTATTTCTTTGTTGTGCGATGACTCTCATTTCTTACAAATTTAAATGTCTCACATTTCCTGAATCCTCCTACGTGTCCAGAAGTCAGAGTAGGGGCTTTTATAAAAGAGGAATTTGAGCTAGTAATATTAGATTTGCTGTTTAGCTGGCTAGGCTTATTTTTACATTTACAGTGAGTCAGTGCCACATCTGCAGCATGGTATTAGCTCAGTGTGGAAACTGTAGGCATGAAGTCAGAATAATCTCATCTAGAAGAAAGAGACTTCCTGTGCCATTGGTTCTGGTTTGATATAAGATGTGAACACGTCACAGAAGTGTTGCTTTGAGCCTGGTGTACTCTGTGTTGAAGAAGGTGGCTCTGTAGTAGTAGTAGTAGTAGTAGTAGTATCAGTAAATGATTCGGAGGCTTAGCATTGCTTGTTGTGGGGTAGGGCTGGGTATTATTCACAATTTGTCAATACAAGTACAAACACATTGTGCTTGTAGCCACAGTTTGTGTCCCTCACGCATACATTTAGGTCACAGAGGTAGGCATCAGTTTCTCTAAAAGATATGAGTTCATTAGTTGTAAACTGGCAGTGATTGTGTTTGTCTTCCTTTTATTATGACATATTACTTTTATTTGATCATTGGTTTTTAACTGAGACCTATTTTATTTGTTATTTATTTCTAACATGCTTAATTTTCTTATCTGATTTGTTTTTATTCATCATAGAGAGTTATCATCTCGATGTGTTGTATGTGTGTGTGTGGTGAGCCAAGGACAAATTTCCACAGCTGTGGTAGACAAAGTTAGATTAAAGCGAACTGAATAATTTAATCTGCGATGTTTGAAAAGCTATAAAGTCATTTAAAATCACTTACGTATGTGGTTATATTGCTCAGCCCTACTTGATAGGTTCTGATACTCCCTGCTTTGGGCATTTTGTTCAGACTGAAGAAGGTACTGAGGCTTGATGTCCAGCCCAACTTTCTGGTTGATTATCTGGCATGTCATTCCTTAACAAGGAACCCAGTAAGATCAGCAAGTCTTAAAGAACTGCAAAATAATAATAAAAAAAAAAAATAGACTGAAGAAAGCATTTTTGAAGCTTCAGTCATTCTTCATCATGCAGGTCGTCAGCTCTGCTGTAGATTTTACGTTTCTCAGATGAGAAATGATCAGATGTTTTATTGCTTGTGATTGTAACACACTGAAGGTGCAAAAACCCTGAACATTTTGTATGTGTATATTTCTAATAACATGACTTACGTTTCAGTGCACAGAGCATGCAAATCAGGATCAGGGCCAAGAGTCTTAAACTGTCTGTGCTGTACTGTGCTGCAAGTAGACACCATTATCATTAATGTTGTGAGAGGCGATTGTAACATTTGTTTTTCCTCAAGTGGTGTTTTGCAGATTTTAATGCATGCTCATGGACAGGACACTCTCATCCATCTGTGGTGGAGTTATAAGTAGTTCCCTGGGAGCACTTTTGTTATGCCGTCTGGCAACTTGATCTTTGCAGCTTAATATTGTGCCAAATTTAATTTTTACTTCTGTCTTAGCCGAATGAGTTAAATGTATGATGAGGGCTCGGAGAAATAGCAAGACCTCTAAGGTGCTATTGCCTCTCTCTGAAATGCTTAAGGTGGAATCCTCTTTAAGAGACTTTTTGCAGTATACAACATTGTACTGAAACATTAACATTTCATGTTTGACCAGTGGTAAAGTGGTGAGATGAGAAAATGTATTTGAAAACACTTTCTTATATTTTGCCCTCCCAGCCTCTTTCTCTCCACTCTTTATTCTTGAAGCCTATTTTTTTATGTCTTGTTTTCATTCAATATTGTGGGAGTTGCTTCACCACACTGCCTCTTAAGGACTGTTCAACATTTAATTTTGTTGTCTACATTTCCCTCCTGCAGCTTAGTTCAGTATTCCATAAAAGAGGAAGAGAAAAAAAAACAAGCATCCACGAATGAACATGGTAAGAGTGAGGGTCTGTTTCACTCCCAACAGCCTTAGAGTTCTTCTTGACATTGCCAGTGAATTTCTTTCTTATTACACTTGAATTGATTCTTAAATAGACCATTTATGTGAGTTCAGCTGTTGTAATTTGTCTTTTTTTACAGTGTAAATAAAGCTGTTGTACATGTGAAATTGTCCTTGTTTTTTTTAAATGAGGGCTTGGAGTTTAGGCAACACACACACACACACACACACACACATCACACACATCACATGTTGCTGACTAACCTGTTTATTCATAAGTATGTATATGAGAGGGTTGATGACGGTGCTGCTCTTGGCCAGTAGTGAAGGCACTACACTGGCCACAGGACTGATTATGTTGGGTGGGCCGAACGTTGCCATCATGGCGATAACACCATAAGGCGTCCAGCACAACAGGTAGCAGGCCACTGCAGTCAAAACCATAAACAGCATGTGGTATTCCCTCCTCCGGGCTGCAGTCTTCCGGATTTTACCCACCTATGGATGAGAGTAGGAGACAGGATTGTTGAGGAAAGACAGAGTTTGATATGTTGGTGCAGTGGGTAGCATTGTCACCTCACAGCAAGAAGGTTCCAGGTTCAAACCTTGCAGACCTTCTTTGTGGAGTTTACATGTTCTCCCTGTGCATGCATGGGTTTTCTCCAGCTTCTGCCCACAGTCCAAAGACATTCAGGTTAGGTTAGCTTGGTAACTAATTTGTGAATGGTTGTCTGTCTCTGTGTGTCAGCCCTGTGATAGACTAGCAACCAGTTCAGAGTGTACCTTGCCTCTTGCCCAGTGTAGACTGGGACTGGCTCCAGCCCTCCCACAAACCTCTACAGAATAAGCTAATGGATGTTTTTCACCTTACAAAATGGAAACCATTGCATTCAGTTGTAACTGACATTACTTCAAAGTAACCATCTGCTGTTCTGTGTGACGAAGCAAACTATAAATTATTTTAGCTACCAACCCTGTTTGATACTCAAAAGTAAATTTTGGTTGTGGATCAGTTCAAGCAATTTATGGTATTGCCTTCGACACTGGATAGGAAAACACCACAAACATACACACGCACAAACACATATATATTGCTGCAGTCTCTACCTTTTTGACAGCCCAGAGCAGCCTGCCATAGCAGTAGATCATCACCAGGACAGGTAGACCCAGGCAGAAAATGAAAAGACAGATGATGTAGGCATGTGACTGGACTGTCTGAGCCGTCCAGGAAACAGAGCAGCTTGTTCCTGCCCCCTCTGCACTATAGCTACTCCAACCCAACAGGGGGGGTACTGTCCAGAACAAGGAGTATAGCCAAGTGGCCACAACAGCAAGCAGGGGCTTGCGGTAGTTTAGCATGTGCTGGTTGTATACAGTCAGAGTGCTGTAGCGGTCATAGGAGAGGATCACTAGAGAGATCAGTGACACAATACCTGAGAAAGACAGAGAGATGGAGGGGTGAAAGTGGCCAGCTGGAAGTCATCTGGCTGACTGGTATGACATACAGAGCAGAATGAACTTGAACAGAACACCACATTGTACTAAACACAGCACGAGGAAGTAAGACAACACTTTACAGTAAATATTCCGCTGCAGATTTTGATCCTATTCTCAGAATAAACTAATCTATAGCCATGCTAGCAGCTCTGTGAGGTGGTGCTCAGCCGTGCTTTAAGTTAAATGCTAACATTAGCATGCTACCATGCTTTTAATGACAATGCTAAGTACTTCTTTCATGAGAGGAGCCTCACAGAGCTGCTAGTGACACTGTAGACTCTCAGATGCAGTTGGGCCAACAAAGAATGAACCCTACTAACAAAACCAGATATATCTTATTCCTCTGCACCATAAACATCCATTGTTGTCCAAAACTATTAAAACACTTCAGTGAGCTACACTTGCACTGAGTGACATGTTTGCTCAGTACAATGAAAATACTTGGTTCAAATGTTTGGCTTTAAGAGTCAAAGTCAAAGATGCTGCAGCATACGTATACACATACAGCAAACATACTGCAGTCTTTGCATGCTGGAAGAGCCTAATAGACCCTTTCTCACCGATTAGTTTCAGAACGGACTGTAGTTGCTCTGGGCTGATACCATTCTGTGCATACAGTAATTTTCCAGGAAACAAAACATAACAGAAAGCTTGTCTTGGTGCAACCTAAAAATACTGTATAATAGAAAGAGACAGGGGAACAGAATGCTTAGTGCATAAAATTCCTGCCCAGACTCAGTTTGCTCTCTCCATCTCCATTCTCTCTGATAATCTCATTAAAAAAGCCTAATAATTTCAGGACTTTACATTCATAGCACCATGGCAACACTCCCTTGATGTGTTTCAACCTGCTGTGCTAATTCCTACCTCTACACATAATCCAACAGCTGGAAATGAACTATTACTATTACACAGTGGTGATAATCATCACCATTATAATATATGTGTACTTGAAAAGTTTTCAGTGAATTAATTTTTAAGCTTGTATATTTAGGATTCTCTAATTTTGCATATTCACTAGCTGTGAAGCACAATATGCTAATGCTGATATTTGCTAATTGGCACTAAACAAAGTACAGCTGTGGCTGGAATGTCATTAGTTTTGTTGGTAATTGCTCAGAAACCAAAGCAATGGACAAACTTTAAATTTAAACTGATGGTGGCAGTTGAAAAATTAAAGGATCACCAAATCACCAAACTGATTTCAAATGTTTAACTCATGTTTAATACATTGACACACACTGTGACTTTTGATTACAAAAGTACAAATGTTTGTACTTTACTTGAGTACTGTAAAAGAAAATACAGTAAAATCATGAGTTAACTGATCCATGGTGGGAAAGTCACAAGCCCAACAGTAATTCCACTTATAAGCATATAATGTACTGTAGCTCCACCTTTACTAACTGCACTAATAAATGTGATGTGCTGTACACAGTAATGCAGCAATTATAATAATCCAATAATATAATTTACATACAGTAAATATAAATGTCCCACTGCATAATGGGTGCTTTTACTTTTGGTATTTCAAGTATATTTTGATGCTAATTCTTTTGTACTTTTACTTAAGTAACATTTTGAATGCAGGAGTTTTTACTTGTAGCAGACTATTTTACGCTACGGTATTGCTACTTTTACCAAACATTCTGAGTACTTCTTCCACCACTGTTAATAACATTTATTGTATTGCTCTGAAATCATGCCTGACACCACATATGTATTTTGTAGTCCAACAAAATAAATCATTTATTATTACACATACATGTTAAGTCAACACAGAGGGACTGACTTGTCTACTGAGAACAGCAACCCCTATTAGTCCCCACAGTCACTCCTGTAGGCTCCTGCGCTCACATATGGCAGGTCTGGCAATATGAGGATAATCACAAAACAGCTTTGCCTTTACATCTCAGGGTGTACAGTATTTATTCTGGCCAATGTTGCAAGAAATAAAAAGAAGCTCTGCCTGTTTCATCTGTAAAGTATTTTCCTCTGTTACTACACAATGTACAATATCGTGACATAGCCTAATGATACTATTCTTAAATGTTATATAGCCTATGACATATAAATAACTTATTATTTCGGCCCGCTAGAAGCACAAAAGCGCATGCATATACACATTAAAAGTAAGTGCATATGCATTTATGAAAATAAAACTATATTTTTTTTTTACCCTCTCTGACATACAGTTTCTCAAACATACCATCTGCCAAAGGTGAGAAAATATGAGACGTACCAAAGCAGGAGTTGATGAAGCCGTACCAGTTGCATCCGCTGCGCCCCAGCAGCCACTTTCCACGGATACTAGATGCAAAGCTGAGCGTGGTGCCGAACAGACACACCAGCATGTCACTGACACTGATATTCAACAGCAGCATGTTCACCGGTGTTCGCAGCTTCCTAAATTTGCAAAAGAGAAGCAGCACGATGAGGTTGTTAAGAAAGCCAAAAGTCATGATGAAGCCCAGCACCACGGACAGCACCACGAAGCCCGTCGGAGAGAGCTTCTCTGGCGCGTCCGCCTCCCGGTCATCACTCAGGTTGAAGCTGTAATTCAGACCAGCCTGACCAGAGAACATGATGCGGTCCATTCATCGGAGCTTGTCTTCACTCTGGAGCAATTAGTGTTTGTCGCACTGCCCACCTGGAAAGTTTCTATCTTCTCCGTGTATTTTGCCTTTGGTTCACATAACCTGAACACAACATCTCGTGGCCAAAACGGACACTCTTCCACTGATGGTGAGCGCAGATAGCTGATAACGCGTTTCTACAAAACCGATCTTGACACAAATACATTTCAACCAAAGTACCACCTGTTACTTTAACGCATTGCGCATCTCCTTGTCCATGTTCACCATTATTAATCCCAGTTTACACAACTTGTCAGTCGGTTTTTAATAATTGTTATTTTATCTTAGGGGAGGTCCATCATCACCGTGTCACAACTTATAGATTAATTGCAGCTAATTCACAGTGAAGGCTCCTGATGCGCTCTGCTCAGCTGTCCACTACCTTTTTAAAGGCGACTCTTACGTCAAGAGGCACTGGTGTGTGTGTGTGTGTTTGGTTGTGGGGCTTCTATTGTCGACCACTACTTACGTTTTATGACAGTAGCAACTTTGATGCTGCTTTTACCTTATTAACCTGTTGTGAGAAGTATGGAGGACCATTACAATCACCAACAATTTAGACTTTAATTAGCTGCATCACCTGTACTGTAAATGCCATTTACAAGAAATGAGTTATGCACTAGTGTTTATATTTTTATTCTGTCAAGATGAAGAAGAACATTAGGCTACTGGAAATAATAACTAAAAGAGCCAAGTTTACTTTAATAAAAGATCATGATCAAGAACAGTTTATACTCTGAAAATGATGCAGGTTATTCTTTGGCTAACCTTCCAGAATTTTAAAACTCACAAGGTTTTCACCCAGTATATGGTGCACAGTGAACTGGATATAACCGATGTGTTTGCCTGATGTGCATCAATATTAACCCAAATATTTTTCAAAAACTTTGACTTATAGTGTGAAAAACATGGTCAGATTCAGCATAAGTTCCACAAAACCAACTTAGGTGTGCTAAGTCAATTCAGTATAACTGTATGTAATTAAGACAGTTTGGTGAGATTTGTTTAAGATTATGTAACAGTAATCAATTGTCAGATCTTTTTCTTATTTATATAATGTAGTTTAGTGGGACCAGTTGGCCTTACTGTCCTTTGATGTGAAATATCAGCCTTCACATTCCCATGCTAACATTTGTCCATTTATGTGAGAACCTCCCTACACCACTCACAGTTCCAGTCAGCTCATTTCTATTGGAAACGCTCAGCGACTCTTCCCAGTGGTTCAGAGGAACAGCGAGCATTTGCTGACCATTTTAAATAAACAAACTTCTGTGCAATAAAAGTCACCATAACCTGGAGTTTATTAAAGAAACTGTGTTGTGTGAGTTGCTGATAACTGTTTTCTTTAGTATCCAGCTACCTGATCATTCAAAGTAGGAATACAATACATTTACTCCCTATTTCTACTTTGAAGAAAATAAGGAAAAGTAAAGTAATTTAAAAGCAGGAGACCTAATAACCAGCATATTGTGTTTTCATTTCAAAGGGCTTTAAATGCACGATACATATCTGTCAATTAATTTTTAAATTGACATTTGTTAATGAAGTTTAGAGGTTATTTTGTCTTACAGAAGACCAGTACTGTAATGGCATATTGAGGTCCTATTCTTTAACAGGGAGGCAGTCTTATTGCGTTGTAGTTCTAAGGTCTATGCCTCTCCGGTTACTTTACTATAAATAGTATTCCTCCAGCATAAGGGCACACAGTACCTAGCCTTCAAATTTTGCAAATGTAAATAACCCACACAAAATGTTTACAGCGACAAACAGGTTATAGTGGCTGAAATGGGAAAATCAACAAGGTTAGTTCCGTGCACTGTGGAAAGTTTCGTGTCAAGACATGAATGAGCCATTGTGTCAGTGCAGAAAATATCTCGGTAGCCTACGTAAAAACTACGGCGTCACAGTGAAAGACATTTAATGCAGCATTAGAATGTTTTGTTAATCTAAAAAAATGGCAGGTAAGGTCCTACTACTACAACAAAAATAAAATTATTAGGCTGTTATTAGAAGTTTGCCAAGTAAAATGAGCGTGGCAGTCTCTGCAGGACAAGACAGGCTGCTAAATCGAGCAATGACTAATCGCTCATCTGCCAACTTACTCTTCGCCCCAGGAAAAGCAAGCTCCGACGTGTGTGCAATGGTGCTGCGTTAAAAGAAACAGCTGTGCTATGTTCCCGGTACCTATGTGAAGTAGTTGTACGGTGTGGTCCTCGTATGTTGTTTTTCCAGTGACAGCTATGAACGGAAGAAAAACTCGCTATCAGTTTAGGAGCCTGCTAGCTGGACGCAGCTAACAGCTAATGCATTGCTAACGGCTAATCATTTGGGTTGACGGTACTACTAAGACGTTAGTTTGTAAATATGTCTTTAGCATATTCGTCTACGAAAGAAATTAGCATTTGTAGATAAAATAACTGGTTACTTAGTCGGAGGGTAAATAGCGCTGATAAATAAGTGTGTATGCAGTTGTGAGCGTTGACACTCCACTGTAGCTTGTCACCTGATGGTGTTTGCTACCTGTAACCGTTACGCTGCTAGCTCCGCGTAAACTGCTCCTACTGGTGTTGACGTAGCAGCTGCTAGCTTGGCTGTCCGGTCTAGAAACTCAACCGTTACATTTTGTGAATTTGCAGTGACGTTACCAAGTCACTGTCCAGACTGAATAATAAACCCAGAGTTCCTCAATGCCTAACTCGACCGAGGACATGAAAAGTTGTGACTCAAAATGCTGTAGCTGGACGTGAACGTGTGGCTGTTTGCTTCCCTGATCCTGTTGCATTGAACGGATGATGAAGCGGGTCACCTGGCTGATATCAGGATTAAACAGAAGAATGATGAAGCTGCTAATTGCCTTCGCTTTGATCGCCTACATTGCCTGTAAGTACACTAATTTGAATAATCTCACCCGTTACTGTTATCTTTTCTGTTTATTTCCAACTATAACATCCAAACTGACGTGACACTGAATACTGAATATATTTGATGGCCAAACCAACACAATGTACCTTTTTAAAAGGGCTTCATTAGGGTGACTTGTAGGTGGTGAAGTGATGTCAACTAATACCTTAATGTTTAAGCAGTTATTCAAAACAAATAATCATCTTAATCAATACAGAAAGTAATTGTCTATTACAGCTCAGTGGTTATTAGTCATGAAGTAAAGACAAGTGGTTGTAACAATTCAAGTAAAATACTACAGTTACTTTAATGTTTACTGGTATAAATTCCCAAACAATGATTTTTCCTTACATATCAAGAGTGCGAACTTACCACTTTTTGAATTAAATGTTTGATTGGAGGAAATTACAGAATTGTAACAGAGTGGCTGTGGATTGTGTTGGGGGATGCACACGGAACATTTTTTACTTAAAGGTGATATGGCCACCAAGATTTCACACTACATTATAACATGTTATATGCAAATTATTTTGTGTTGTTGCTGCTGTGAGTTTTCCCTATGTGCTTTGTGTGTAAAATTCTCATTTGTCATTATTAATTGTTTGAAGTGATGTTGGCTTGCCTTCATTTCAGTAGTCAGTGACACTAATACCAGGCAGTTGGCATTGTGGTTTGCTCCCCTCTTAGCTGATATGTCTCTGATAATGATTGTTGTGGGACTGCACCATAGAGTGGAGATGGATGACACATCACCACTTCTTGCTACTATGCAAAAGAGAAGCCAAAATATTGGAGAAGAAATATCACTATAATGGGGATCAACATCTTTCTTTTGTGATGACTTTTACAACCAGGTTCTGCACAGTAGCAAATAGAGGTGGAGCCAGAGCCACGGTATCAGGCTGTCACTCAAAGCTGCCAAATAATCTGAATTACACCCCTTTTTTATATTATCATAATATCAACTTATTAAAAGCAGCAAACGTTTTAAGAAAATGACTGCTTGTACTCAGAATAGTGTGAAAATATCTACCTAAAATAACAGAAATCGCATTTGGAAAAAATTTGATTTGTACTTTGAATTTTTAGTTTGGTTCATGTCCCATCCACTAAAACGGAAGGGACAGGGGGGTTTGACCTTTACTGCAACAAGCCACCAGGGGGCGATCGACTTGCAATGGCTTCACTTTTGGGAGCTGTCAAATGGTCTGTCTTTATAAAGATGTGCTGTTGTCCAGCAGGGTCCTTATAAAAAAAATCCAGAGATGCACCAATTGCAATTTTATTGGCCGATTCTAGTTTATTTTTTTTTTAAGTCTGACCTGCTGATTCTGGTTTTGGCTAAATCTGAGTTTCTTTCTAAGAACTGTAATTAGCAGCATACAAACACATTTTTGTAACTTTTCTTTAATGAAAAATTAAATTGTAATAAAAATAAAATAATGTATTAAAGTTTTACATTCATCTTTCTCACACTTTTTATTAGCAAACCTCCAACTAAAAATTAAGTGCAATATTTGTACTTCTCCAAGTTTTAAACAGGTGCAACAGGGAGTAGAAACATGGGTTCGATACACTTTACATATACATGCATTCCATATGTAGCCAGTAATTTCCTCATTGTCCAAATCGCCAACAAATAGTACACATAGTTTGCCTTTCTCCAAGGTGTTTCTGTAGGCTTTTCTATTCACTTTTTGTACACCAAGCACTTTGATGCTATTACTGCCAATGGATCGGTGCATCTTTAAAAAAAATCCTCTATAGAGTTGAAGGAGCCTCTGGATTCAGAGGTTTTTCTCCCCACCCTGTTTTCCTATGTCAACTTCTTCTTCTTCTTTCGGCTGTTCCCGATAGGGGTCGCCGCATCGAATCATCTGTTTCCACCTAACTCCATCCTTGGCATCCTCTATTCTCACCCCAATTAACTTCATGTCCTATTTTAGCACATCCATATATCTCCTCTTTGGCCTTCCTCTTGACCTCTTGCCTGGCAGCTCCATCTCCAACATCCTTTTACCAATATAACCACTATCCCTCCTCTGCACATGTCCAAACCATCTCAATCTGGCCTCTCTGACCTTGTCCCCAAAACAGCCCACCTGAGCTGTCCCTCTGATGTGCTCATTCCTAATCCTGTCCATCCTGGTCACTCCTAAACAGAACCTCAACATCCTCATCTCTGCTACCTCCATCTCTGCCTCTTGTCTTTTCCTCACTGCTACAGTCTCTAACCCATACAGCATAGCTGGTCTCACACTGTCTTGTACACCTTTCCTTTGATTCTTGCTGCCACTCTTCTGTCACACAACACTCCTGACACCTTTCTCCACCCACTCCAACCTGCCTGCACTCGCCTCTTCACCTCTTTCCTACACTCCCCATCACACTGGACTGTTGACCCCAAATACTTAAACTCCTGCACCTTCTTGACCTCAGCTCCCTGTTTTCCTATGTCAACAGTTTTTGTAAAAATATTCTTAATGTTATTTAACACAGAACTCTTGCAGATCATTTAACAACCCTATATGTTTGTTATAGCTACCAGTTTTAAATGCATACAACTGAGAAATCATGTTTTGCCTGCCATTTGGCATGGCACTTGGGTCAAACACTATGGTGCTGTGGAGAAGCCAGTCAGAGGTGCGAGTTGGAGGATTTGGAAGTTTAAGATTCTTCGTCATTGCAGTTGTTAACACATGGAAATATATGT